AAAGAAAGCGATGGGGGGCTGCTATTTAGACAATGTGGTCAGGGAAGGCCTCTTTGAGGAGGTGACATTTGAGCAGAGGCCTAAAGCAAGTTAGGGAGTGCGCTGTGTGGATATGTGGGGGAGGAGGAGAGCATTCCTGGCCTAGGAAAGAGCGAATGGCTAAACTCCTGAGACAGAAGGCTGCTTGGCTTAACTGAGGAGCTGGAGGGGAACTTCATGCTTTGAGTGGAGTAAGTGAGGAGAAAAGTGGTGGGGAATGAAATTAGAGGGAGCAGAGAGGGGAGTAGATCAGGCAAGGCCTTGAGCCCATGGTAAGGACTCAGATTTATATTCATCAATTATGAAAAAGGACTTCTCAGTGACCACAAATGACTTCTCCCAAGTCATCTGGGAAGTGACTTAGAGCAGGTGACTCTAGAGCAAATGACACTTTAATCTTCATTCATTTTAGAAACTTTTGCTGGACACCAACGAGGTGCTAGATTAGGTATTGCTGGGGATACATACAAATGTGAACAAACCACAGTCCCTGCCTTCCAGGGCTCACTGCCCTGGGGGAAAGACAGAACTGTACCATGTGAATGATGATGGCAGCACTGGGCAGGACCGTGAACAAAGTCCTGTAGAGACACAAAGAGATGCCGTCATCTCTCCTACAGGCTCTCCTCCTTGACAGGCGTCATTCCAATTCATCACCTTCCTTATCTCTTCTTTAGTCTTCGACCTCGAACCCAGGCCCATCTTGTGAGGATCCAGTCAGATGCCACCTCTTCCAGAAAGCTTTCCTGGACGTCTCCCACCAGTTCCAGGTGACATGAACTCTCCCAGTCCTTCGTTCCCCTTTTTCCATGATTCCTTTCCATTCTGCCCTGAACTGGACCACAGTTTGTTGTGTGTGTCACTTCCCCTCGATGTTCCACAGCCAGCCATGCCCTGGTACTGACAGGATACTTCTGTGAGCATCTTGTTATTTTTGCAGAACACTAAATCTTTGATCATATGTTGATACTGTCAGTGTTTCCAGAAAAGGAAGAGGCAGGGTCCCCACAGAGGTCAGTCACTGGAATTAGTGGCTGAGGGAGGCCGTGGGCTCATTACCCTGGGAGAGGTTGTGAACTGCATAAGCCCCCACCTGCCCGGACAACAGGGAGCAAGAGGAGCTGACCTCAGCATTTGAGACCCACCCCCACCGAGGTGGGTAGAGAAGAGGAGTAAACATGCCAGGAAGGACCTTCAGCCGAGCCACCCTCACTTGCCCTCAGCCTCTGCACCGACCCCTCAGCTATTCCAGGACTGGCATCATGAGGGGTTGAGTGGTACCAATGTGGGTGGTGGCCTCTCCTCTTTCCGTTTTTGATTTTTGGTTCTTAAAAACTACATTCCAAATGAGGGAAATGAAACTACTGAAGACTCTCCCCCAGCAGCCAGCTGACGTGGGGCAAGAGAACAATTCCTAGTTAAGGCCCCAAAGGAAATCCCCTCCCTGTCATGTGCTGGTGCCGGGAAAAGCGGGGGAGGCGCTCGTTCACTGTTGGGCCAGGCCCAGCCATGAAGGTGAAGGGCCGGATGAAAGGGCTGCCCTGTCTGTGGCCAGGGGCTAAGAACCCAAGGCAGAATGGAAAACATCACAGTGAGGGTGGGAGGACCAAGATCTTGGATCTGGGATGAGCCAGTTCCAGAAGCAGACCCCACCACTGCATTGCTGGTACAATGGGTTGTCCTCTTCTCTCACAGACCCATCTGGAGGAGGGAAGCTGACCTTCACTTCTCCCACTGGATCCTTTGCATACTCTGCCCCCAACTCGGATGTGTCTCCCTTCATAGTCTCTCCTGTAGGTATCCCCACCTCCCCAGTCCTGAATAGTGTCTGGTTATCATCTGGAAAAGCAGTGGGAGGGGAGACAGAAGCCAAAGTTCCTTTGATCTCTTTGGGAGACTGAGAAGTTGTACCTGTGACAAACGATTATAAAGCTTAGTTTAAGAAAGAAAAAAACCCTCAGAAAGCAATACCTAGAGAATCATAGACAAGGTAGCCAGCAATACCTAGTCTAGCACCTCGTCGGTGCCCAGCAAAGGTTTCTAAAATGAATGAAGATTAAAATGTTGTTTGCTCTAGAGTCATCTGCTCTAAGTCACTTCCCAGATGACTTGGGAAAAGTCATTTCTTGGTCATTAAGAAGTCCTTTTCATAATTAACAAATACAAATCTGAGTCCTTACCATGGACTCAAGGCCCTGCCTGATCTGGTCCGCTCTCTGCTCCCACTGATTTCATTCCCTACCACTTTTTTATTGCCTTCCCTTCTTCTTTCCTTCTCTTCCCTCCTTCCTTCTTTGAGCAAATATTTACTGGGCCCCTTTATGTGCATTGGGCAATATACTTTTTGGAATAACACATGACCCCTTCCCTCAAGAAGTTTAGAGTGTAGTTGAGGAAACAAAATGGAAATCCTAAAAGTTAAATCACAATACAAAAGATGTCATGAGGCCCATGGATACAGTAGACACTTTGTACCACGTGTTCAGAGGAAGAGGTGGAGAACTCAGTGGGGAGGCTTCACAGAGGAGGGGACCCAACCTACGCCTTCGGGATGAGGAGGGTTGGGGTAGGCACAGGAGAGGCTATTCCAAGTAAGGCAACCTCTGACAGAGCAAGAGTGGGGAGCATTGGTTCTGTGTTTAGGAAAACTGTAAGCAGGTAAGACCGGATAAAACCCACTTGTGGACCACATATTGAAGTGTGGAGGTAACAGTGAAGAGAGGCTGGAGGCAAGATCAGGCTGAATGAGGCCTCTGGACTTTCTCCTCCACTGGGAATTGCCCAGCTCCTTGCTTCCACCTCAGATCTCCTTGGCGATCCAGGTGAGCTGCTTCACACTAAATTTAGCATTGTTATGGTTGAACAGGGGATGGGTATAAACTCCACAATGCATGCAGCAGGCTCAAAGAAAGAGGCATGCGGTCCCCCAGATTCTCGCCATCCCATGGAGCGATGTGCTCAGCCAGGGCAGGGCTGCATGCACCATGGGTTGTGCTCCAGAGGCAGTTCCCCAATCTCTTCTGCCTTGAGCAGCATGGTTGGGAGGGGCCCCAGAGCACCCAACCATGTTGGAGAATCTTGAACTGTGCAGTCAAGGTTACAGTTGGGCTGGCGTGAAAAATATTCTGTTTTCAGCTGCAAATCAGCGCTTGTTTCAGCTGGAAATCTTAAGTTCTCCCTGCTGAGCCAGCTTGCTGCTAGCCTAGAGGGAGAGCTCTTGGTGCTATTCGCCAACAAACTGGCTTGTCTCCACACATCCATTGAGACCATTGATTTTCTGTTTTTTTGAGGGGTTGCAGCTGTCTTTCTCAAAAGAAATTCTATAAAAAATATAAAACATGTGAAAGTGGAATGGCTTGGGATAGGAGGAGATGGAGTGCCTGGAGCATACTCAGGTCTTGGCATCTCTGAGGTGCCCCTGAACCTGCTGGACCTGGTGTTAAACTGCTGATCCAGGTAAGAGAAGCGATGGCAAGCCACGAAAGGGCTTTAAGCAAGGAGTGAGATGATCCAATATACATTTTAGAAAGATGCCCGTGGCCACTGAGTGGAATATGCATTGGAAGCAGGGAGCCCAGTTTAAGGAGGCTTCTGAAAGTCGAGACATGAGTTGATAAAGGATAAAGAGTAGGTTTGGATTCAAGAAACATTTCCTAGTTAAAATCAGCAGCAATGAATGACCAACTGGATGTGATGGGTGGGGTCTGTGAGGGCCAGATGGAGGCATGCCATCAACAGTGACAGCCAAACAGGGAGAGAAACCAGCTAGGACAAAGTATAAGAGTTCAGTTTATGACACATCGTCATAATTGTTGTGGCCACTCTGAGACATGTAGGAGCTGATTTACCAGTAGACAGTTAAAAACATAAGTCTGGATCTCTCTTGGGAGAGAATGTTGGAGATAGAGATTAAAATTTGGGAGTTATCAACATATTGGTAGACACAAAAGACATGGGAGTAGAAATTGTGCATACCATGAGAAGAAAAAGGCCTGAAAGAGAACCTTAGTTTGTGATAATTTGGCTTTTATTCAGTTTTTGCATTAATGTCATCATTATTACAACTACGAATAAATATTTTAGGGAGCAGAGACAATGTGCTGGATGTTTGGAGCAGGATGGACTTGCTCCTGCTCTCTTAGGATGGACACGCCAAGATAACAATGCTATACCAAATCACAAGTCAACAGGCTACAAGAGGAGTGAGCCAACCCTCCAGGACACTTCACCTCTCCAGATCCGATGGCAAGGAGCAGAACTGGAGATCCCTTCTCTGACTCCCCTAACGTGGCTGTCTGCATTACTCATCCGGCATGCCGCCAACACAGTAAATATTTTGCCTTCTCCGCTAGATGTAAGCTCCTTGAGAACAGGAGTATGAGATAATGCACATAAAGCTCAAAGCATGGTGCCTGGCGCCCCTCTGATGGTGGCTATCATTAACTTGATTATTCTTTTGAATTCCCGGCAAGAGCTAGCAGGGAATATTGTACACATCTGGTACAAAAAATTCATCCATGCAGCCTATGATCAAGAAGTTCATGGCACTCTGACAGTCCACCCGAAAGCAATTCCATTTCTTTTTCTTTTTTTGATGGGCTGGACATAAAAAGGGAGATTATTAATAAAGACTAGCTGAGTGGATGACTCTCCCAGAGGGTGAATTCTCTCCCAATTGGAAAACGTGTGTGCTCCTCTTTCCCAAAGTCCGCCCCAGCTTGACCCTTGGACACAACCTTGGAGAAGAGTTTCTGGGTCAGCAGAGCTCACAGGCAAGGGCCCGCAGCTCGTCACCCCTCGAAATCTCTAAGACAAGAAAGGCTGGGGAGCCTTCATGAGCATTGCTGGGAGACCATAAACATATCCCACTTCCTTTGAGACTAACCCAGCAGGTGCTCGGGGTGGGGGGGCCACCGCTTCCAGCCGGTCAGCCCGCCCTCTCCCATCCCCCTCACCACCCACCCGCAGCGCAGTTCCCTCTAAGATGCCTGCTCTCTGTGAGTGCTGAGTCGCTGAGCAGCTCGCTCTCCATGTGACTTCAGTTTCCGTCCGTTCCTTCCGCAAGTGCTAAAATAATCTGATGCTCCAGAGAGAGGAGGCAGCCCAGGCCCGCGTTCGCCTGCTCTCGAGGAGGCCGGAGCCCCGGGAGAGGATGCGCCCCGCGGAGCCGCCTGGGCCTGCGGGAGCCGTGAGTATTTCCTGCGTGGCCGCCTCCCCGCGGGGCAGCCGCGGCCCTCGTGGAGGTGGGCGAGCTCGGAGAGGTGGGGCGGTAGGAGGTCAGCGTGTGTGGCCCACAGCTGGGGGGCTGACGGGGAAGTTGTGGGTGCTGCATCCAGGCTCCACTGCTTTCACGCCGTGCCGGGGCTACGGCTCTGGGTGTGGGTGGCAATACCTCTCTCTAGGAGCACTTAGCGCTGAGACAGGTGGCGTGAGGTAGTGGAAACAACGTGGGCTTCAGAGTCGAACCTGGGTTTGATTCCTGGCTCCGTGGGGAGAAGTTCTGAGCCTCAGTTTCTTCATCTGCAGAATGGGAGAATGGGAACAAGAATGCTCCCTCCCTGGGTGCACTGGCTGTAATGAGGTTGCTCTGTGAACGCTCAGCACGCTGAGTGCTTGGGTCTTTTTTGTTGCCCACAACGTGGACTGAGAGTCACCATTTCATAGATGAAGACACTGAGCCCCATGAACAGGGACACGTAGTTATGGATGTCTTCCGTGTGCAGGCGTGCTCAAGGGGGTGGGGGTAGAGCTGTGAAGAAGACAGGAAAAGCCCCCTCCCCACACAGCATTTGTCCTTGGGACAGTCACTAGGGCTCTGTTACTTGGACCCACAGCTAGTAAGTACCAGAGGGAGACTAGACCCCAGGCCTTTCTGACCCGTTGTTCAGTGCTTTTCTGTGGCCCTCACGGCCTTTCCATGTGGGCCGGATTCTGGAGGGTTCAGCGTATATCCCCATGCACTCAGGAGCTGACAAAAGCAAGGAGCCACTGACTGGGCTCATGCCGCCCTCAGAATGGGCTGCCAGCTCACCTGGCCCCTGAGAGAAGGTGAACACGTGCCCAGCGGCGGCCGTGACTCCGGGAGGCCGAGGCAAGGGCCTAAGAGTGGAGCCCTGGGTAGGGCTTGCCCTGGGAGGTGCCTGGGAGGTGCGTGGGAGGTGCGCTTCCAGGGGGAGTGAGAGGACTCCACTGGAGGTGTCTTCCGTGATGGGTGCAACTTACTAGGAGTCTGGCCGTTGGAAACATTCAGAGTGTACAGAGCTGGCTCCCTTCACCCACTGGCTGTGTTCCACACTGTTTCTTGGATGTTGGTGATTTGCTGGGTTTTATAGCCCTGAGACTTCTTTATTTTCCTCACACACTTCTGTAGGTTTGTACATCTATGTCTGAGAGTTCCTAGAGGGGATTCTAGAATGATGGGCCTAGAAAAAAAAAACCTTGACTCTTGCCCTTAGGTTAAACGAAAACAAAAACCTGTTTCACAAAGAGAGTGCTTTCATCTAATGGGTGCCCTCATGGGAACTTCACGAAGAGCCATATAAACCTGATCCCACATTGTCCTTAAACCCGTCATTGGAGAGCAGGAGCCTCCCAAACAGAGTGCAGGCTCCCGGTGTCTCTGTCCTGGGGCCTGTGTTAGGAGTGCATGGACCTGTCCGTCTCTGGGCTTCTTGATTTTTTTGGAAGTGTGATGTTGGTAGTGATTATAACCTGCGTCCTGGCTGCAGTGTGCATCCACATCATGAAGTGCACAGTAGACTCTCGGATGGACAACTTATTGTGTCTCACATCTTGCTCAGATCCACAGTATCACCACATAAGTTAGGGGAGGGTGGGCTTTCAACCATGACTGAAAAACTTCATCTTTCTCAGGACATGCTTGTATGCTCAGTGATGCTCACCGATGTGTCTGCAATTGGTGACAAATATTTTTGCCTTTGGTAGAATTTCTTTATTATACTCATCTCCCCCCTTCCTCCCAAACCATTATTCTCAACTTCATATTCAAACAGATGTCATGTGCTCAGTGTGTGGGGGTTTCTGGGCTAGGTTAGGTGATGATCTCTGAAAGTTCAGAGAGGTGAGGAAAGGGAAAATAGGACATCGATACTTGGGTCTTATTAAGCCTCACAAGCAAGTGTAAACCTAAGTTCAGGGTCCTTTAGTTGCAAATGACAAAAACTCAACTCAGTTTGGCTTCAGCAAAAAAGAAGATTTATTGTTTCAAATAACCAAAAAGTCTATAGGAAATAGCTTCAGGCATGGCTGGATCCAGATGTTCAAATGGATGCCAGGAATCCATCTGTCTCTATTCCTCAGCTTTGCTTTCCTCTGTGTGGGCTTCATTATCAGGCAGGTCCTGAAGTTGGTGGCAAAGATGGCTGCCTGTGGCTCCAGGCTTAATTCCCACCAGCTCAGCATCTGAAGCAAGAAGAAAAAGGCTCTTTCCTAGCAGTTCTAACAACAATCCTTGGATTGATTGTCAAGAGCTTGGTGCCTGTGATGTACCCATTATAAACTAGTTACTGTGGTTAGGGAAATAGGAGGTTCTAATGGGCGCAGCCTTGTTCAGAGGCCACACATTGGAGCCAGGAGTTGAGGTCCCACCCAAATGAACATGGACTTCTTAGGAAAGGAAGGGGTTTGGTTGCACAACAGTGTAAATGTACTTAACACTACTGAACTATACACTTAAAAATGGTTAGGGTGCTAAATTTTTTAAATGGTTAGTGCATTTTACCACAAATAAAAGTTTTAAAAATAAAAGAAAGAAAGAAAAGAAAGGAAGGGGTGGTTTCCTCAAAGAGGAATTGAGGAGTTGTTACCAGAGGAGAAATGAATGTGAGTAGGCAAAGCCAACTGATTTCCAGAGCAAATGGAGTCAGGTGCTGAGAGCAAAGCACATGTCTTCTCACTTCAGTGCCTGAGTGATTTCAGGCTGAACAGAGGGAAGAGAGGAGGAAGTAGAACCCTGTCGTGGTTCTCACCAGCGAGGTGGGCAAGAGGAGCAGGGCTGGTACCAATGATGGGTGAAATGCAGCAAAGCCCTGGGGGCACACAGGGTCTCCCGCCTCCAGCCCCAACCCAGAAGGTCGCCCCGGTCAGATGCTGTGCCGTGTGCCCCAAGCAACCTTCTGCTGCCGCCTCCAAGAGAGAAAAGGATGGGGAGGGGATTTCTCCTCAGGAGGCAGCACTTGGGCCTCTGTCTTTTCACCCTGGCTCTTCTCAAGCAGGACCTAAGGTCTGAGGCAGCCCAGCCCCCACATCATGTTCTCCAGTAACCTCATGTCACTCCATTTTAGATGTCAGGCGGGACACTGGCTCCTCCTGGTCCTGCCTGGTGTCACTCCTCTTCTGGTCCACACGTGATCCCTCGGGTCTCTCCTGCCTTTCCAGTGTCTCCTCTCGGTGGTCCCACCAGACGCCAAGGCCGAGCTCTCTCCCTCTGCCTGCAGGGCCGGTGGCGAGTGGGTCTTTCGCTGCCTGGCCCTGAGCCCCTGCTTCAGCTTCAGACGTTAGCGGTCTCCCTATCACTGCCCAGCCTGGCACCCTTTGACCTCCTCATGGGACTCCCCCGATGGCCATTCTCTTGTTCTAGGCTCTTGCGTCCTTCCTCAGGTCCCTAAACAGAAGGTTCCATTTTAGCTAATAATACTGGCTTCTTATTTCCTTCTAAATCCCCAGTTTTTTCTAGGTTTTCTAACTCCTTTTGCAGAACCTCTAAAGGCCCTCGTCTCTGTTATAGGTACACTCCATGGCGTCGACAGGTTGTCTCATCCCCATAGAAGACCGTGACCCCATGAACACTCAGGGGTGCTATTCAGATTCTCGAACACTGCATGGTAGAGGCACTGGCCAATCAGAATGGACGTTGTCATTAGAAGCAGGGTCAGGTGTTACCTCGTTGGTTGCTGGATCATGGTGGGAGCCCTGGGAGTTCTGCAAGAGGGGCCAGGCAGCTGGGGTGGAGGCTCACGGGGCAGCTGTTTGCCAACAAATAGATACCTGTGCAGCCCAGCTGAATGTTCTCTCAGCATGTATTCCCCCCAGGCAGGTGCACATCCAGCACCTCCGACCTGGGCTGGAACTCAGCTCTGGTTTTGGCTTCACTGTCTATAAGCTATGTGACTTGAGCAATTCCCTTTGGCCTTTTCAAGTCTTGGGTTTCTTATCTGTAAAATGGAGATGATAAGCAGAGACTGGAACATAGGTATTTGCACACTAATGTTCATAGCAGCATTATTCACAATGGCCAAAAGGTAGAAGCGACCTAAAGGTCCACTGATGGATGGATGGATAAACAAAATGTGGTATATGCATACAATGGAATTTTATTCAGGCATTAAAAGGAATGAAATCTGATACGTGCTGTATCATGGAGGGACATTGAAACATTATGCTAAATGAAATAAACCAGACACAAAAGGACAGATGTTACGTGATTCCACTTATATGCTGCCACTTATGTGAGGTGCCTAGAATAGGTAAATGTATAGTAAAGAAAGAATAGTGGTTGCCAGGGGCTGAGGGCAGGGAGGAATGGGGAATTACTTTTTAATGGATACAGAGTTTCAGTTTGGGAGGATGGAAAAGTACTGGAGATGGATAATGGTGAGGTTGTACAACAATGTGAATGTACTCAATGCTACTGTAAAGGGGTTAAAATGGTAAATTATATGTATATTTTACCACTATAAAAAAAATGGAGATAATAATGCTTACTACATGGAACTGTTGCAAGTATTAAATGAGATCAAATGTCCATAAGAAGCCTTTGCAACTTCAAGTGCTATTATTATTGTTAACCAATAGCATTAAGTTATAATCTAATTGTCTTGGGTTTATCCAAGAATTCCTTAAAAATCCTTATTTTTTGGGAAGGAGAGGATTTTTGAAAAAATCCCATTCCTCTGTGAATTCAAATGAGTTTCAGAGAAAAAAAAAATTAGCCTTAGAACAGGTAGCCACCTTGCCAGTACAATTTTAGGAAGTTTGAAAAGGATAAAATTATCTCCCCTACCATCTTGAAACTGTGGCGTGAAAACTTTAGTATTTTTCATCATTACCTATATACGTTCCCATTGAAGAGCAGTGCATGAAAGAGGATATCAGTCATTCACACTTTAGTATAAGCGGCTTTCCTCCTAATTCTGGCTGAGAACACTAAGGCAGTGATGATCTAATCTA